AAACAATAGGCATGCACACACACCCCCAATTGTTAAATCTCCTCATCCTGCTTTCTTTTCTTCCCAGCCCCAACCATTGTCTAATGATCTTACTTATGTATTTTATTTTCTTATTGTCTGTCTCTCCAACTAGAATATAAGCTCCATGAGAGCGGGTACCTTGTCCTTCTTATTCCTCGATGTATCCTCAGCTGCTAGAATGTTAATCAGCACATAGCAGGTCCCTAATTATGTGTTGGTGAATAAATGATGAAACTTGACAATTCTATGGGAGGCATTACTACTGCCATCGACAGATGAGAAAACTGAGGCCTGGAGAGAAAACTGACTTGCCCAAGGCCACAGAAACTATAACTGGAATATAAACCTGGGTCGAACAGTTTCCAAAGATGGACCTCTCGGGCTGCACTACACTGTGAGTACTCCACTTTGCAATGGCAGGCTGGAGCTGGCTCTTTCTGGAGCGCAAATCTTTCCAAGTTTAGTGACTTCACGTTGGTTGCCTGATACTTGTCATGGAATCTATATTTACACCATGGAAATTGGCAAAGTGCTACAAGCTTCCTCTTTCCAGCTCCCCTCTGGGTATCTGTGATTCAAATGTCACCTGCTAGTTTTGTTGTTTGATTTACCAGTCCTTAAATTCTCAGAGACCTTTTCTTTCCTCCTGGTCCCTTTGCCCCGAATCCGCTCTTTTCTGAATGCCCAGACGAGGAAGCAGGCAGAACTCTAGGGCAGTCAAAGGAATTACAGCTCCTGTTCCGACTAAAGACCCCAGTGTTGTCTGAGCCCTTCCACATAATTGGTCCTTATGCCTCACAGTCTGACACACTGAGAGCCCTGGGCAACCCACAACCCATGGAAAGCTTTTCCCAGGTTGATTTGTGGTGTTGTGAGCGCTCCCTTCCCCTGAGGTCTCCTCTTTCCTCTTAACCTTTAAGAACTATAATTTTTAAGGAAGAAGAGGGTATCTAGTAGGTTTCCCTTTCAAACCTCATCTGGCTTGGATTGGAGGTTTGGCTTAGCCTGGGAGCTCAAGAAATTCTTGGGCACTGGACAGAGAGATGGCAGATGGTGATCGACTCCATGGGCCCCTGTCACAGGATGCCCACCCTGAACCAGGAGCTCCACCCTCCCCCAACCCCAGGTGAGTGCTAAGCCTCTTGCAAACCAGGGTGGCAACAAATCTTTCAAGAGGCTATTTGGAAGTGCTTTATAGCATGTAGGGTTACAAGGCTGCCCACCCTCCCCCAACCCCAGGTGAGTGCTAAGCCTCTTGCAAACCAGGGAGGCAACAAATCTTTCAAGAGGCTATTTGGAAGTGCTTTATAGCATGTAGGGTTACAAGGCTGTAGCTGAAAAAGTGGAAAAATTAGCCTACCCTAAAATATCCGATGCAAATAATTTCTTGTCACCTTGTTTCTTAAATGTAGTTAACATCCAGATTTTGGGCTTCCCAAAATATGGATAAAGGTCATCAGTTAAAATGGCAACTCAGAGATAAAAATCTTCCACTGTAACAGTCACTCACAATATGATGCCATCAGCCCCTGTGTCTGACATGGGAGTTAGGAGTTTAACAACAACAGTTATTAAGTATTCTTGCATTTAACAGGCTTGAACCAGCCCATGAGCAGGACACATGTCCTTTGTCCACCAGGGCTCAGCATCCAACCCTCTGCTCTTTCTGCAGGGGCTTTCCAGAGGCCCCTTGCATTGTTTTTTTACCCCCCGTAAGAACAATTTGATTTTCTAACACCTTTTCCCAAATTTCTAGACCCCCCCCCCCCCCCCAAAGTGGGCTTTTTTTTTTTTTTTTTTTTTGTCTTTTGTCTTTTTTCCGTGTCCGGCAACGGATCGCTACCCTCAGTGTTGCCCCCGTACCGGACCGGGGACCGGCAACGGGATCGCAAGCCTCGGCGTTGCTCCCGCGCCTCGCTCAGCCAGTGAGCGGGAGCCGGTCTGTATGTGGGATCCGAACCCTCGGACGGGAGCGCTGCCGCGCTTCCCAAGCAGCGCACTATCCAGTGCGCCACCGGGCCGGCCCCAAAGTGAGCTATTAATGGCAACTAGAATGGCAGTCAATCTGCGTATTCCTTGTGTTCTTCCTTTTCCTCTTCCTCTCTCTTGAACCTTTTCTTCTTTTCATTCACTTCATTCATTCACTCATTCACTTATTCCATACCATTCCTTCAATAAAAATTTATAAAATAATGTTTATGTATCAGGAATGAGGAATGCTAATTCCTAGGGATATAGCAGTATACAGGTCAAGAAATCGGCCTGCAAAGAGCTTACCCTTGGGGGCGGGGGTGCCACACAATGAGAATGAAGGGGGCATAATATCAGGGCACTGTGGGGATGCACAGCACTAGCACCTATGAGCCAGAGAAGGCTACATTTGACCTATGACCTGAAAGATTTCTATGTCAAGAAATCGGCCTGCAAAGAGCTTACCCTTGGGGGCGGGGGTGCCACACAATGAGAATGAAGGGGGCATAATATCAGGGCACTGTGGGTATGCACAGCACTAGCACCTATGAGCCAGAGAAGGCTACATTTGACCTATGACCTGAAAGATGAGCAGGAGTCTGCAGGGGAAGTAAAGAGAAAGAGTGTTCCAGACAGAGCAAACGTAGGTGCAAATGTCCTGAGGCACAGGCAGTAGAGCACAGCAAGGAGCTAACATGTGCGCTGTAGGGCTCAAGTATGAGGTGACTAGTGGCAAGGATGTGACTAGAAAAGTCAGTAGGGGACGGATCATGGATGCTGAGCATGACAGGGAGGTGAGACTGGATCCTAAAGGTAATGGCAGGGCTTGGGGCAGCAAATGACATGATGAATCAAAAAACAACAACAAAAACACAAAACACAAAGGGTTAACCCACTCTCCACCACACCATCACAGCCACCTTTGAACAGGGGCTTCTGAGTTTCTCTAGAAGTCTGGTGTCATTATCGCATGAGTAATCTGGCCTTAATGTTGAGGGCTGAGGGTGAGGGTGGGGGGAGGACGACCATGACTCACAGGGGCCTGAAAATATACCAGCCCTATAACTTTAGATGCAAATGAGAATAAATGGAATCTCTGGGGCCCACTGTAGTTAATCTTTTTGTGGGGGGTGGGGGAAGAGGTCAGATACTGAGATATGCTGAACATGACAACCTCCTCGCTGCACCTTTTGGCAGGCAAATTACTTGAGGGGCCATGACCATGAGTCACTAAATTCTAAACCTTGGGTGAGAAAACAAAGTTGATGAATGCGTCCAGCTACTGGCATAAAGACCCAGAGTGCAAAGCAAATCATGAAGATCAGACTGTGACATGCAAAAGGAGCCCCGACCTGTGCTTAGTGTTACATACGTGTACACGCAAACACACACACGTGCACACAGACTTACACATTCCCTCCCCTTCTTTCCTTGAAATATCAATTGCAAATGTCAATTTCTAAAATCTGTCATACCTAAAAGGCAAAAAAATTAAAAGCGACCAAAAGATGAGGCAGAAGGGTATTTGGGAAGGTTGAGGGTACGGGATATCTCAGAAAAAAGGGAAATAAAATAAGGGAAAAAATATAAGTCTAAAAGAACTATGAATCCAAAAATCACATTAAAATATTTCAGTGTTTTGTGGATTTATGATGGCTCCAAAAGTCCTCTAGTATTTTGGGGGACTTAAAGAAAACTACCACACACATTTCATTTCATTCTCTTGAAAACCTTGCCCAGCTGTTATCACGTGAGGAAGTGACTAAGGAGGTTTGGCCTTTAGTTATTGACCAAACACCTAAGTTACAGGGCTTAAATCCTTCTAAAGATGCATAAAACCACATAAGAGACCTGATTACCTTGTTCATTGTTAATTAGAACCTTTCCTAGGCATTCTCTCCCACTCCCTATTTCATGACCAGGAATAGTTGAGCCTAATTCTTCAAATGTAGGATAAATCCAAGAGGTTTAAAAAAAATTTTAAGACAGATTAAATGGAGAAGAGACCATATGAAGAAGGCTTCCCAGGTAAGTACATGCCTTCAGATCGAGCCTCTCAATCAAGCTGTGTGCACAGTCCTCTCTGATCTCTTGCTATGGAAGAGTTCTCTGGGCAACCCAAACAAGTCTGTGCAATTTTTCAAGAGTGAGCATCTTTCAAAATGGCACCCGCAACTCGCATCAACAATTCCTTTGTCAAGGAATTTGGTAACATCTAGAAAACATTTCCCCAAGAGAGCCCCCCTCAACACATATACACGATGTAGTTGTCTTGAGTCTAACTCCAGTGTCACTTCTGTTACAAAAGCCGCCTCCGGCAAGGAGCTGAAAGAGAATCTATCTTGGCAAAACAGGAAATTATTTTGGGGAACAGAATTAAACTTTGGTAGTTTTTCTTCTCTTTCTCTGCTGTGCTTTTGTTCACAGCTTCAGCTGGAAGAGAGAGAGTGCATACATTCAGTTTGGAGTTTATGAGTTCATATTTTATAATTAACGTTGCCAACAGGGGAGTTTGATTAATACCAAGCAGTGGATTTTGAGCAATGTTCCATACAAATTGCCAAATTTAGCAATAAAATAAATTGGTTATGTGAACATAATTAGTAGGATGACTACTTAAAATTCAAAACTGAATGTGAATAATTCCAAATCATCTGAGCCACAAATCCATTATTTGTATAGAAGGGCGAAAGTATAGCATTTGGGTTTTATTTTGTCCTCAACCACAATGTTATTCACCACCAAGCTGAACATAATGAAACTTCTGCAATAGGTTGTGACAATATTTTAGAGCCACCCCAAAACACATACACACGACTGTGCACACACACAAAGGGAATGTCATAAAGATAAGAAATGCTAAACTGTGAATTTGCATTGCAAATGTAAAAATCCATAACAAACATTTTTCAACAAATGCTGCATTACATTTTTCTGATGTGTTATACATAAACCTCTAACGCACAATTACACAGCAGAGCTTTTTTTCCTTTAAATATTCACGGTACCTTATTATCGCCCTGGACTTCTCCAAGCCTTTGCTGAAGTTCTTTAATTTCTTCTCCCAGATGTTTATTGCGGTCCTGAGAATCTCTCAATAGTTGTACAAGATTAGCCTGGAAATATCAACACATTATGAAATACAATCAGAAACAGGAGCGGATAAATGTGGGGCTTTATTGAGTTTACTGACGTTGGATTCCAAGCCCAGCTGAACCACAGAAAGCCCATCAGGGTAAATGCACACACGAATATAGCAAGTGTGCACATCACACCAGTACAACTCATGGAGGAAAATGACGTTGGCCATGAACCTCAATTTGAGGATGTTCTTTGTTTCCAGAATGGCTCACACAGGATACTCGGACACATAATGGAGGAGTCAGTCATATTTTTAAAAAGTTTTTTAAGAGCTCATCATTAAAAACATTGAAAATGAACACAGAGTTCAATTCTAAAATTTGGGCCAACATAGGACAAGCTTCATTTTCTTGTTTAGATAGGTTTTTTTCCCTTCAAATATATCTTGTTTAATGAGCTTTTCTTTGCCACCTCAATGCCCTGAATTTCAATCACAATTTTAAGAGGCAGGCAGAGAAGAGGCCAGTGATGTGCAACAATTTCTGAAAACAGGATCCAGAGGTAATTCAGCAGTCTCCCGGGCTGGTTTCCCCACCTCCTTGTTCCCTTATTCTAGCTCACATAGTACCAAACAGCCAGGACTGCAGCTTTCCCTTCCCCTCTTCATGATATCATCTCTTCCTCAGATTTGCCTCCTGCCCACACCCGGACCTCTCTGGCCCACACGAGTGGCTCTCCAACAGCCAGCCGCCTCTTTCAACGCGGCTCCACATCACCCCCGCATTGCCCCTTTTCCTAAAACGCGTGAGTGCCTCTTGCCATATTCCAGACTTGAACCTGGAATTCCTGACTCTCCCCACCCAGCTACACGCTTCCATCCACCCAAGCCTTTAATTCCACCTTGCTCTGTTCTCCAGCACTATTCTTATTTTGCCAACTGTAATGCTCTCAAATTCTCACCTTACTTATCACATTCTTACCTATCCTTAGCAAGAAGCCTGCAAGCTACCGAAAGGCAGAGATTCTGTTTCCTTCTTCCTCGGCTTCCACATGCTTGTGTACCAGCAAGTGTTTTAAAGACTTGTGAATAAAGGAAGGAGGGAGGAAGGGAAGCAAGCAAGCCATCAGAGCATGACTCCTGGAAGGGAATCATTTGGAAAGAGTCATACAAGGGATGTGAAAGACCACCTCGTAGATGCCCTTCATATTGCAGCCAAAGAAACTCAAATCCAGAGATGTTAGGGGACTGGTCCAACTATAGCAGCTGAATTTCCAAAGCCTTCAATGCCAGTGCTTTGGGGAATACTTGATTATATTGGGTACTAGAAAGGGAATCAAGGAGAAGGAATATAAAGTCTTGGTTCATCCTTGAACCCTCACTCCATCTTACCTCCTGTATCCTGCTCATTGGGGTGTTCTGCTATCTCTACCTTCAAGGTGTCCCCCTCCCCTGCTGCCTTCACGCATACCTCCTTGAGGTTCCCCGCACATCCTGGGAATGATGCTATCTCAACCCCAGGGCACTGTCCTCTGCCTGGAATGCTCTCCCTGCAGACCATGCACTCCCCGCCTCCTGCAGGTCCTTGCTCAGACATCACAGTCTCAACAGGGCCCACTGTGACCTTCCCCTTTGCTACTTTTTCTTTCTTCCAGAGCATTTGCCATCTTTGAACATTCCATATAATTTACTTCATGGTTTATTGCTTACTGTTTATTTCCTGTCTCCCTCTCCTTACTAAAATATAAGTTCCATGAAGGGCAAGAAACCCTGTTCTCTCTGTTGACTTCTCCCAAGCACCTAACAAATATTCTTAAAGTGAGAGATTAAGCTGCGTCTGGAGGTTATGGCCTCAGCCTAGGGAGGGATTCAGAATAAGAACAGCAAGTACCAACAGTGAATCCAGTGCCTGGTACTGTGTCTTATGTAGAAAAAACACTCACCCCTTCTGGCTGGATTTAATCAAGCCCTGATCTCCATTCACTTATTTGTGAACATTACTCAATAACTTGATTTAGTTTTTCCCAGCCCCATATTTGCAAAACTCCTATCTTGTAATTTTTGGGTTACAATTTTCCCAGATTTCCTTTCTCAGATAAAAATTTGGTGATGGATGAGGGAAACTAATTCCCATTCTGTATGTAGGAATGAAGGGAAACAAGAGACACCATAACTGACTGTTTTTGGAAATTTCTCTGGATGGAATAGACTAAGTTGCATCCCAGTTCTGCCACTTACTGAGCTGGGTTACCCCTTGAGTTTTCCCATCTGTAAAATGGAGCTAACAATACATGTTTCATGTGGTGATTTGATACTTAATTAAATAATGAATACAGAGCTCCTGCCACAGTGCTTGGCATACAGTAGGTGCTGGTTAAAGGCTGGTCATCTCCCTTGACTGCACCCTTCCAGTGGCTCCAATTCGGACAGAGTGGTGTGGCTATGGCAGTGTCCCCTTAACCACAGCTGGCTACTTTGTCCCCCTGCCCCTTCACTGCTCACCATCCATTCATTCGTTTATACAGCAAATATTGACTGTTCATGTGGTGATTTGATACTTAATTAAATAATGAATAGAGAGCTCCTGCCACAGTGCTTGGCATACAGTAGGTGCTGGTTAAAGGCTGGTCATCTCCCTTGACTGCACCCTTCCAGTGGCTCCAACTCGGACAGAGTGGTGTGGCTATGGCAGTGTCCCCTTAACCACAGCTGGCTACTCTGTCCCCCTGCCCCTTCACTGCTCACCATCCATTCATTCGTTTATACAGCAAATATTGACTGAGTGCCTTGCATGTGCCAGGCACTATTTTACACCTGGAGAGACAGAGTGAACAATACAGACAAAACCACTTGCCCTTGTAAACTTACATCTAATTGATCACATTACATTAATTACTTTATATTACAATAGAATAAAAAATGACTCCATGGTGGCTGATCAGTGTTACAGAGAAAAATAAAGCAGGCAAACAGAACAGAGTGTGCTGGGTGAAAGGGCCACAGAAGGCCTCACTGAGAAGGCCGCATTTAAACCAAGATCTGAAAAGAAGAGAAAGTGGGCCTCCTGGATAACCTGGGGAAAAAGTTCCAGGCAGGGGAAAAGGCAAACACATCCCCAAACTTCCATTTGGGAGAACAGCTCAATGCCACAAGGGCAGGCTGACCCCAGGGACTGTGGTGAAGTTCAGAGATGACTCAGCTCTTGATTTTCATTCCCTGGTTCCTACCCTCTGTCCCACAGCATTCCCCCCTTAGCACAAGGTATTACAAGAGGGTGGCCTCTGCCTTTTCTCCATGGAACTCTAGAACATTCCCTAGACATTAGCTCATCGATCCCTCCATTCCAGATGGAAGGAGAGGTCACCAGGCAGGAGTAACTGTCCCAGGGGAGAGGTGGGAGGAACAGCCCAGCATTTGCTCTGGAATTCCCTGCCACCTGCACACATTCAGAAGAATCTCAGTATCCCCATCTGCAGGAGACACAGCAAAATTCACCCTCACAGGAGCCTTCTAAAAAGATAGAGAGATGCTCAAAGAAACGTTTGTAAGAGCAACAATGAAAACTTAACAGAAGACACACATAAAAGAAGCCTGCAACTTCCCTAACTTTCCCTTTTTGAATCAATAATGGCTTGAGCCTCTCAGGTGGGTGGGAAGACCCTGACATTTGGCAGAGAGATGCTCAAAGAAACGTTTGTAAGAGCAACAATGAAAACTTAACAGAAGACACACATAAAAGAAGCCTGCAACTTCCCTAACCTTCCCTTTTTGAATCAATAATGGCTTGAGCCTCTCAGGTGGGTGGGAAGACCCTGACATTTGCTGACCAATGTAACTGCAGAAGCTAAACCAGCACAACTCAATCCATCAGTGGTGAAGGACTAGTTCTCTTCTTCCAATCCATCACAGATCAATACTTACATAAAAGGAAATAAAAGTGAATTACTAGGAAAGTGAATTTAAGAAGACATCAAGAAACCCCTAGTGTTGATTGTTAGATGCAACAGATATAACAATCACGCTGTCACACCGCTGTAAAGATTTCTGAACACTTCCTCTCACTTTCTGTACTTATCTTGTCGCAGACCAGAAAGAATTTGGTTGCAGCCTGACACTGGTTTTTGGGCCTCGCTTTGAAAAACACTGAGCTCAATGATGTTCCCAGGTATTTGGATACTAGAGCAGGACAGGAACCCAGTATATCAGCCAATGATTCCAGTGATACCTGGGGCAGAGGGCAGGGATGCTTTAGGAAACAGGGACTTAGAGACCCAGCAATATAATTATCAGGCATTATTTATTCTGCAGCATGGTTGAAAAGAAATCTGCCAAAATAAAGTCAGACGTTTCTACATTAGCTGCAAAACAATGGTTAATTAAAATCACAATCTCTCCAAGTGAGTTCACAGTAAATCAACCCCAACTTTAAACTTGACCCCTGGGGTATAATGGGGTTGGGGAGGCACCACTGCTTTAAAGAAGGTAACTACTATTCTTTTACATTTAACAGGCTGGATTACTTGTAAACACACAATTCTTTTTTATTCAGTCTTTCCACCTCCTTAACTCCAAAACAATAACTTTGAAAACTAGAAAATGACTATTCTGATATGGTGCTCAATTCCTTAACATACACCTTAAAGAACAACAACGGAAAAACGTCGTACATTTCAAAGCACTCAAAATAGAGGAGAAAAGTTCACACAATTCTTTTGACCAAAAATAACACCCATGACTCACATACATTCACTATAACAATCCATCAAGCTAACACACAGTGCCTGCTTATAATTTATCAGCTATGCAGAGCGTTTTGTCTCCTTGTTACTGAGAAGGACTCTGTGACCATCAGTTTAGAATAGCAGCACTAGGTAAAGGAAATGTCAGGGAAAAAGTGGCAGACCTCCTAAGACTGGGAAGGGCTTCCCAGGGAAGGAAAACAAAACCGAGAGATTATTTCCTCTAAATCTCTGGGGCCAGGGGTAGCATAAATAGCAAAATATAAAAAGGTTTTGAACGAAGCCGCTTTTAAATATTCAGATCCAGCCAGGGCCGACA